GATGTTTCACAACACATCTAAGGGTGGCTTTTGAGTGGCTGGAGAGAGGTTTGTTGGCAAGGCAAAGAGAGGAAGGAACACTTAAACACTCTCAAAACCAGAACCAAAAAACCCACACCTTTGTTTCTGTTCTTTCGGATCTAGAACCAAAGAAACACAACACTTGTTTCTTTTCATTCGAACCCAGAATCAACATAAACAACATCTCTTTTCTTTTCTTTCGAACCCAAATTCGAAGGCAGCAATTCAAGTCCAAAAACATCAACTCCAGATTCAAGGTAAGTCTTCCTGACTTTAAACCTTTTGTTTCAAGCATGTAAATAACCTTTTGTTTATTTTTCGTTTCTACCCTTTCGTTTGTTTTCTTTTCTTGTCCAAATATATGTTAAAGACTAACTTGTACAGACCATGAAACAATATTAGCATGGCTTCGACCCATAATGCTATTCAGTCCCAAACGAAAGAAAACATAAAAAGGTGTGTGAATCGAAAGGTGTATGCTTTGATGCACACTGATTTACAGGCCCAAACGAAAGGAATGGGCATGTGAATCGAAGGGTGTATGCTTCGATATACACTGACTTACAATCCCAAATAAAATAAAGAAAAAAAGGGTGTGAATCGAAGGACACATGCTTCGATTCAGAATTTCTTTTCTTTCTCTCTTTTGCACTATTTTTGTTTTTATATTTTTCTATATATTTTCTTTCGTTGCTATTCAATATGGTTGTAATAATTAGGACTTTTATTTCTTTCCAAATCCCATTTGTAAATGTGTATACCCCATCCCCAAAATATGTAATAGCGTAGGACATTTATTTTTTCTACAATTTATCGCTTTTATATAAAATGCTAGTAATTAGGTTGTGTATGGCAAGAGTTAAAATCAACACGTAGACAACCCTAATCAAAGACAAAAATGCATGCAATCAAACACACTATTCACACACGTGCACCTCTAGGGTAATCTCACTTATTGCCTCAGAAAATAGTCATGTCCCTCGAATATGGGCATTTTAGCAAAGACCCTCGATAAAAATATCGTAGTCCCTCGATGTTTCCTTCAGTAAACGATCAAGTCCCTTACAAAAATTGCTAAAATGTCTCATAAGTTGCCTTCCATGACTATACGAATGACCCACGCATGTCCCTTCACATCCAACGACGAGGCTTCTTACCAATCAACAGTAAGATAACAACATCTAAAGGAGGAGGAAAAGAACAAAGACATTTTGAGTAGGTAGGACACTAGTAGTTGCTTGCTCTCAAACTAAAACCATTTTCCACACTTACACCTTCAAAAACATCTTCAAAAACAAACATCTCTTTGAACTATTTTCAAAACCAACACTTTGTATGCATTCTTATAGAGACGAAAATCATTACAAATTTTGCCGCAACAAAGGCATTTTGAAAAATATTTTCAATTTTACACCCATCATAAAACACAATTTTTAAACAAAGCATTTTTTTATCTAGCAAGCAACTAAGAGCCCATAGATAACTACGGATGAAAAGGGTGATGATACCTTCCCTTTTCATAACCTACCCCCCGAACTCAAGAAAATATCTCAAAGGTCTTTCATGTTCTTTTCACTCTTTCCTTTATTGGATAATAGAAAAGTCGGTGGCGACTCTTGCTATCCACAATAATTGCAATCAAACGCAAAACCACCAAATCAGTTCTCCACCGTATTACACACGGGAATACCACATCTACAATAAAAAGTTTGGAAGTTCAAATGGGACAGATTGCATAACAACCATCTCAGCAAGCACAAGGCCATCAGAAAACTCATGAGAATGTTAATGCTGTTACAATAAGAAGTTAGAAGGGGTCAGAAAGTGAAGATGAGATGAAACTTGATGATAGTATCATAGAAGTTGATTTAGAAGTGAGAGAGAGAAAGAAAAAGCAGTAAGAAGGGGTATCACCTGTGAAGACAACAAAAGAGAAGAGTGCAAAGGATTCTAAACCAGTGATCAAGTTTCCATATCCCTCTCGAGTGGTAAAGAAAGACACGAAAGAAAAAGATTTTGAGAAATTTGTCAAAATTTCCAAAAATTTAGAGATCCACATACCGTTCATTGAAGCACTTGAGAAAATGCCCGTGTACCAGAAATTCATGAAGGAGGTACTTGCAAAAAAGAGACCGACAAAAGATGGACAGGTACCCACAAATGAGAAATTATGCACAATCATGCCCGAGAGGAAAATTTCTATCAAGCGGAAGGATCTGGGGTCAGTTGTAATACCATACACTATAAAGGATAGAGCATTCAAGAGGGTTCTAATTGATTCTAGTTCAAGTGTGAGCTTAATTCCATTGTCTATTTTCAAAAGCTTGGTATTGAAAAGATAAGCGAGAGTGGGACAAAGTTAAAATTTGCTGATCACGCCATCAAGCAATCATACGAAATTGACAATTTAGTCTTTCCCGTTGATTTCCAGATCATGGATATTTCTGAAGATGAAGAGACTCCTATGATTTTTGGTCGACCATTTCTGCTAACTAGTCGATGCAATTTTGATATCGAGACAGATACTCTAACATTAAAATCATTTGATGAGGAGATAACTTTGAAAGTGTTGGAGATCAAAAAGTAAGGTGCAAGTGGAAAGAAGCAATCTTCAGTTGGAATGATCAAACTAGAAAGAGGAAGAAAAATGTCAAAATCCCTCCCAAATGAAGTCTCATGCATAGTCTCTCAGGTTTCATTAATAAAAACTCCCAAGTTTAGTCAAGTAGTCAAGCAGAGAAAGACAAAGGAACACCAAGGTAAAATTGGAAGTGCCATGAACAATAAAGTGATCCATGTTGTTGGCTTAGATGCGTTATGGATTGAGGAAAGGATATGTAACAAGCTTAAATTAAATTTTTTTTACCACTCAGTGGAATTTTTGGAGATGTGTTTCCAAAAATATCCAGCGGAAATTTGAGTATAAGACCTCCTTACTCGTCATCTTCTTCACCTTTCAAATACCCCCATAACCAAAAACCCTTGAAAAATAATCTCTTTATCAATCACATTTTTTATTCAAATTCAGATTTTGTGCATTCTAACACATCAAATGGAGCATCATAAGCTGCAATTTAAGGTCAAGTTCCCTCATTGCTTGCATTGATCTTTGTTTTGAGCTAAAAAAATGCCTGCCTTATCCGAAAATACATTTCCGAACTCACCTACATTATTTCGGATATGTATATCCGAATTTAACTGTTACTGGTTTTTAAATTTTTCGTTGTTTTGCTTCTTGTTAGATATGGTTCACTCGAACATGTTTCCAAAAATAGTTGTATGTAACAATGTAAAAGAGGATGTAGTGAAGGATAATGTTAAATCATATGAAGTTAAGCAGGATATTAAACCAGAAAAGGAGAAAAACAATGTTAAAGTGATAGAGATAGATGTTGGTCAATGTTTCATAAATGAACAATTGTATACTGCTCGCGAACATGTGCTTCAATGGGTCCGCATGGTAGCCAAAAATTTAGGGTTTGGCATTGTAATTAGAAGGTCCGATAATAGTTATAATAGAAGACAAGCATTTTAACCATGACATGCGAGAGAAGTGGCACATATGTTCTCCCGATTAAGAAGTTGAAACGTGATGACACCAGAACGAGAAAGTGTGGTTATCCGTTTAAACTGTGCGAATATTGTAGTGTGGATGAGATGGGGAAATTTAGTGTGCTTTATGAAATACATAACCATGAGTTCCAAACAAATCTAATAGGCCACCCCATCATATGTTGTCTTAAATCGGAGGAGAATGACATTATTTCAAACATGTCCTTAATCAGAGTGGCACCGAAAAACATACTTACAGATTTGAAACGGAAACACCAAGAAAGTGTTTCAAATATCAAGCAGGTATACACTCAACGTCCTAAAAATAACATAACAATAAGGTGTCAAGGATTCAAAATGTAATAACTTATGAAACTTTTGGATGACAACATAACATATATCAAATTTGTGAGGGATGACAACATAACATATATCAAATTTGTGAGGGATGACAACATAACATATATCAAATTTGTTAGGGTCATATAGAAAACATCCATTTTACAAACCTTGAACTGAAGACAGATGAAAAATTTAAGATTATATGGAGTATTTTTCTCCGTTATGAATCAAAGGGTCTGATTGAGGTGAATGTAAAGATTCAAAGATCAGTCAAATACATAATCATTATGTTGCAATGTCCCGATGAAATTGTTATGTAATGTTGAGTTTATTTTCATGAATATCTATTTAATACATGTTTTTAACTAATGAAATATTGACATTCCTATATAAACCCACCAAATTTGAGGAGCATGCAATGAATTTCTGTGAGTGTGACCGTTGACTTTATCAATAGCAATAATTCAAAGATTCTTTTTTGACTAAAAGTAAAATCACTAATTCACTATAATATCCTTTTAAAAAATTTAGGGGGAGTGAATATTATTATTTTATTTTTAAGTTATAGTATATTATAGGCTAGAATAATTGGGAAGCACATTACAAACTTTTTCTCAATTAGAAACTAAAAATACATTTTCGATATTAATTTTATCGTAAAATAAAACAAATCTAAAAAATAAATAAATTATATATGTGTAAAGATATACACTAAAAATATATTTTTAATTTTTATGAGCATTTTTAAAATTTCGCATGAAATATTAGAAAAACATAGATGAAATAATAAGAAATCATCTAATTCCATCTAATTCTTATTGAGATGAGGTGGGCCTAATAAATAATCGAAGCTAAGAAGAAAACCCTAACTCGAGTAGCACGTGTGACAGTTAATACAAAGAGTAGCAAGCGCCGCAGTGCGTAATCGTAACGTACACCGTTCGATCTAATACCACGTCATCGATCCGCGTGAAATCGTGTCTGAACGGCTCAGATAATTTTCACAGAGTAACTGAAGAACGAAGGGAAGAAGAACTTGGTTGTGTTGTTTCTCTACTCTCTTGTACTCGATTTTTCTCTCTTCAATGAAAACAGAATCTCAAAATTTTGAAGCTTCGAAGATGAATTTGACGGAGGGTTCTGAGAAAGTGAAGAAAAACGAAGTTGTTGTTTTGAGTGAAGATGAAGGCGAAGAAGATTATGAATCGGTGGAGGAAGTAGACGCCGGAGAGGATGACGGTGATGAGGATGATGATGTTGGCGAGGAGGAGGAGGATGAAGAGGAGGAGGAGGAGGATGCTCCTGACGGCGGGAACGATGAGGATGATGATGAAGAGGAAGATGGAGATGATGAAGCAGGTGGTGGTGAGGGTGGTGGTGACTCTGACGATGATGACGACGACGACGAGAACGATGATGATGACGATGATGATGATGAGGATAACGCTGAAGAGGTAACCGAATTACATAAGTGTTTTATGAAATCCCTAATTTCTTAAAATTGTTAACTTCAATTCTAGATTTTTCTGTGAAATTTGTTTTTTGTTTTTCAATTTTATGCCTATCCTGAATTAGGGTTTTTCTTTCAGCTTTTTGTTCATGATATTTGCTAAGATTTTGCAACTTTCTGTGTTAATTTTTAACTCCATGTGAATGAAGTAGGATTTCTGTTTTAGAATTGTGCAGTATTTATAGATCTTAGTTCATCTGAATTTTTTTTGATGATAAGGATTTTAGAATTTCCAGCATATATTTTGACTTGCTTATTATTAGGGTTTTTAGACATCCATGAAATTTGACTCTATTTCTATAAAGGGATTTTAGACATAAAATATAATGAAATGTTCAATACTTTAAACTTTGTTTGTATTGATGGAATTGGATGGAGCCAAGCAGTATGAAATGGAGTGATATTCTATTGATTGGATCTTAGCAAATTTCTTCTCATCTGGTTTGGGCGGAATAAAGAATTTGCTTTGTTCCGTCCTAAAATTTTCAAATGATAGAAAGAAATATTCATTCTGTTATGCTCTATTCCATTAGATTCCACTGCACTCCATTGTACTCCGTTCACTTTATCATATCCAAGCATAGCTTAGTGTTTGGTCTTTTATAATTGTTTCATTTATGTTTTGATTTGCTTGTTTGTTTCTCTAAGAACTCCATGTCTTCACATAATTGGTCTTCTTCTTTGTTACTCAATTGTTGTGTTGGCAATCTGCGACATATGTTTAATTCAATTTTGCTGCAAGTCTATTTTTGGCATTCGAATTACTCATGAGCCTAAATTTTTGTAGGACAATTTGGGAACAGAGCATCTTGTCCGCCCTATAGGCAACGCTGAAGAGGAGGAAGCTTCTAGTGATTTTGACCCAGAAGAAAATGACGAGGAGGAAGACGAAGATGATGATGAGAATGATAAGGTTCCACCGAAAAGAAAGAGGTCAAGTAAAGATGATGATTCCGATGACGATGATGGAGGAGAAGACGATGAAAGACCCTCAAAGAAATAGAGTTGGGTTCATTATTTGCTTGAGGACTTAACAAACCAGACCATAGTTGAAGTAGATCGGCATCTGTCCTTTGAACACTTTTCAGAGAAAGGATGAGTAGGTCCATGGAATTGTTCTGTGCTCTATTGTATTATTATTATTAGTATTATGGTGCAAACATTGTTAGGATTTTTAGTTTTTGTCTGGTTGGTGCATATAGTCAATTGTGGATCGAAACATTTGCTAGGACAACTAATGTTGACTTCCGTTTATGCATAATATTTCTGACACACTGAAATTGTTGGTAGATTTTCTTCTGATTTCACATGATGTTTTTTTTCCTCTCGTTGCAGTTACATACTAATCTTGTAACTGTTAGATCCGTGCTGTGGAGTGGGACAGAGAAAAAAAAAATCCCACTTAGAGACTTTTTTTTTGTTTGAAGAGGCCAAAAATTAAACAGATGCATAAGAAATGCCTGAGAACAACAAATTACAACTGGTATGTCTTACCAACATTAGTTTACTCCAAACAAACACAAAATCCTAATCTATAAATCAAAAACACGATCACATAGCCACAAAATCTGCCATTGCTGCACCTAGACCAAAAAACTACTAGCCAACCCCGAATCTAAAAGCGTCCACTGACAATAAAAGGAACACACCAGAAATGCTTTAAATTTAAATGCAACAACAACTCCAAAACGAATCTGAAAATAACTAATAGAGATTTAAAAAAAAAAAGTCACTCGTACAGGCGAGAAAATGACTGCCAAACAATCCCTCACAAAAGTCCTACTGCCCCAATCCGATATGACTCAAGCTACACATTTGCTTGAAGACAACATTCAAAGCGTAATTGATTGATACTCGCAGCTCCCCTATTAATACTGAATTTTCCCTTGATAATAATAATAATTTGATATGTGATAGCTAACAATTAAACCTCCAAGGAGACCATCGCCAACTAGCACTTGACCTTTTACGTTTGGAACCGCTCCTAGAATAGTAGAATCTAACACAGCCAATTCGGAGACTTACCCAGCCTTTATGCCTAGACTGGCTAAAGGGTTAGAAACCACGTAGTGATGTCATTCGAGATCAACTTTGTTTTTATTTTGAGTCAATTATATGCTGCAATTTCTGTCTCTTTTACAATTTTCTTGAGGTGGATTTTCTTATTTTGAAAGACTTTGTCGTTCCTGTACTTCCAAATATTCCAGAGACAGAAAAACTAGATTATCGACATTTTCAGAGTTAGTGAACTACCGTTGTCAAGCAAATTGTTCCTAGTGCTGCCACCCGTCGTTGAGTAAAGTTCACTGCACTCCTAACCACCAGCAAACAGAACTCCACGTACCTGCGAATAAAAGACACTCGAAAAAAATATGTGAGACCGACTCCTCACACATGCAACCACCAATACACTTGATCTGACCCTGGACTAAAACACCAATTCTTACTAAATCATCTTTTGTGGGAATTCTATTTTGAAGCATTCTCCAAACCATGCACAACACTTTAAATGTAATTGTTAGACGACAGTAACTTATCTAGAGAGGGGTGTATAGATCTCAAGTTAAACGTTTATGAATAAAATTAGTTTTAAAAACTTTGATACGCAAAAATAACCCGGGTCAACTATCGTCTAATCCGAACCGTTATCGAAAAACTTGGATATGCATTAAACCAATGTTGTATGATATGATAATGTTAATCAATTGAGACTATATTTTTACAACCAACAAGTTTGAATGTTAACACAATCAAAATATAATTCTAACGAAATCAAAATAACAAAGCACAATGAGGCGAATTTTTAAACACTTGGTGTGTAATTTGATATTTTAGATTTTCCTTGTGACTCTGTTGATATGAAACTCAACTATAATCCTAAGAGTTGTAGTCTAATCAACAAAGCAATTTCAAGCTTGATAAACAAGGATTTTTTCTATATGTATCAATTGCACAATCAATGAATTTAACAATTTGCGATTAAACGTAAAATAGAGAAGCAAAGGAGAGTGAGAGAGGGCAAGAGGATTTTTTTAAGGAAATTCACCAATCCTCCTCGCTATGACTATGTCTACCCCCAATTCTATTCGGAATTAAGATAATCAATCTTACTTTGCAAAAAATCGTTTACAAGAGAAATGTAGTAATTCAACCATACAAACCCTATGTTTTATGTTGATCCTAACACTTTCTCTTCCCTTGATCTGAGCTTGATCAAGTCACCCAACAAAACTAATTTGATCCACCATCTTGCATCACTCCTTTGCAAGAAACCACTGTTCTTCAAAGCTTTCACTCGGTCGAATCCAAATTGCAAATTATTGTCACCCAAGATTTCCAATCGATTCACCGTCTCACGCTACTTCTTAAGAACTCTCGTTCTTCAAAGCTTTCACTCGGTCGGATCCAAATTACGAAATCTTGTCAAAACCCCCAAATCAATACTTTGATCTTGGTGGAAAATCCTCACAAATTTTCACGATGAACACTCCCAAAGATTCTCAATCCAACTTTCAATTCAACAACTTAAATTGGACGTTATCAACTATGAATCTAGATGGCACCCAAATAAAAAATGATTATGTGTGTATTCATAGATTATGAGAGCTTGAAGATAAAGAGAAATATTTATATGTTTATGGTGTGGATGCATTTCTTTTATAGATGTTTTGTATGATATCAAAAAACTAGAAATTGATTTAGCTTTTATGTATATAGAACGGTGCCTATGAGTATTTGTGTTCACCATTGCATTAGAAGTCATGAAGAAACTTAAGAATCATATATGACAAGTTTGGTTTGGTTATCCATTGGTCTCATAAAACAAATATCAGTTTTTGCACAAAATTCATGTGCATGTGTCGACACCTTCATGTTTCGTGTCAACACATGTGCTGTTGTTTTAAAGCAAATAACTCTTTGTAAGTTTGTGTCGACTCATCCTCTTGTTCATATTGACACATGCCTTTAAACTACTCTATGTATCGACACATACGAGCTTCGTATCGACTCATGAGTTATTGTTTTAAAGCCTAAAAGTCTTTGGAAGTTTGTGTCAACTCATGATCTACTACAAGTCGACACACGTGCCTATTTTTGTCACACATGTGTCGATGCATCACTTGTACGTTTCGACACATCCTATACCAAACTTCAAAAATCATTTTTTTTTGTATTTCTAAATCTTTCTTTTTGCCTAAAAGTCTCACACCTATATATACTTCATACATGCATCATTTTGAACTTGGTAAACTATAAGCACTTACTTGATTGCTCATCATCTTCAATCTGGATCATATGCATACACACAAACAAATTACACGTAATCATTCATTGTTTGGGTGCCATCTAGACTCGTTTGATAATGTTCAATTTAATTTGGTTGTAATCTAAGGTTCGGTTGAGAATCAAGGGGGTTTCATTCGGAATAACTGAGTGTTTATCCTCCAAGATCATTGTGGATTTGAGGGTTATTTCAATATGAAAACTGAGCTAGAGTTTTCCTTCAAGATCATGGTAATTTGAAGGTTTTGGACAAGGCTACGCAATTTGGATTCGATCGAGTGAAGACCTTGAAGAACAGGTGGTTCTTGCAAGCCTAGTAGCGCGAGACGGTGAATCAAATTGGTAGATCTTGGGCTACAATAATTCACAATTCAGATTTGGCCGAGTGAACATTAAATATGGATTTCCTTCAACTTAGTAGCACAAGATGGTGGATCAGATTGGTTTGTTGGGTTGCAATAGTTGCAATTGATCGTGCACGAAATCTTTAGAGATAAATTATGCAAAAGAGTAGCAAGATTCGATAAATTAATTAGCAATCTATTGTGTTTTTAGTCTCAGTAAAGATCAAAGAAAGGGAATTTTGTTGGATCATCATCAACCATAGGGGTTATAGGGATGCATTGCAATATTTCTCTTGTAAAGAATACTTTTGTAATAAGTAAGGAATTATCTCAATTCCAAAATAGAATTGGGGGGATATTAGCCATAGCGAGGACAATTTGTGAACTTCATAAACAAATTCTCGTGTCATTCTCTCTCTCTCTCTCTCTCTCTCTATCTATCTATCTCTATCTCTCTTTATCTTTTTACAATTTGATTAGCAATTTATTAAATTCTTTGATTGTGCATTTAATTTGCATGGAAAAATCCTTTGATTATTTAACCACTTTGTTGATCACATTGCAATCAATTTTATATTAGGAGACGTAAATCATATCAACAAAGTTCAAAGGAAAATCTGAAAAATTAAGTGCACACCAAGTGTTCGATAAATTGTTTCAATTGACTTTATCAAATATTTCATTGGATATTGATTTGCTTGGATGTTATTGTGAATCTATTAATTGAGAATTTATAGTATTAATCATTTATCATCATGTTCCATATCCTTGATATAACTCACATATACGAGCCTCCAATAATCAGATTGGTTTGGACGACTCGCGATCTAGGATATGACTTCTGCTAGCCGTTGTTTTTAACTTGATTTTAAAACTATTTTTAAACTATATTTTGTACCAGGTGTCTATTCAACCCCCTCTAGATACACTGTCATCGTCTAACAAGTGGTATCACAGCTCCGATTTATTCTGTGTACTTCAAAAACACTTATTAGATAATGGATATCAAACCTAAAGGGGTGTACAATAGAGCGCCTATATTCAAAAGTGTAAATAATGGTTATTGGAAAGCTTGTATGCATCTCATATGATAAGGGTGTGTGGGATGTCATAGTCAACGGTCTAACCGATATTTTCGAGACCGTAGATGGTATCACCATACCCAAAACGGAAGCACAATGGAGTGATGATGATAAGTAAAAGTGAGAATGATTGGAAAGCACGAAACTTTCTCATATCCTCTCTTCGTGTTTATGAATTTTATCGTGCTTCTCATTGTGAAACCGCGAAAATTAATACTTTAAATCACGAGTTTAAGCTCTTTCGCATGATGCATGGTGAATCCATTGTGGACATGTAAGAGTAGTTCACTCAT